GCTCATTACTTTACAATAATCTTATAAACTATTCTGACACCCACTACCACAGGCAAATTTTAGGATTGTATCAAGGTAAAGTGCTATATTTGTTGTAGTTTTTTTTTTAAACCTAGTTCTTACAGCTTTTACGTGTTACTGACCTTTTTTTTTTTGAGACAAGGTCTCATTACACTGGCCTGAACTCACAATCCTCCCAGCTCAGCTGTCTAAGTGCTGGCATGCACCAGTACATCTGTCTGACCAAATTTTTAAGAGTAGTGCTTCTAATTCAATAAACCCTGTGATTTTCACTGTGCAATTTTGCATAACGTGGTGATCTTTAGTATTACGTATGTCACATTACAGCTGAACTGATTGTCAAAGGCTACTTTATCCCAGACTCAAGCTCATTTTTCCAGAATATTATAAGTTTCCAGGTATATCTTAGAGAACCAGATTTTAGAGGATAAATATATACTAGCTCCTGATTTTTAAGGAAACCCAAAAGCCTTGAGGAACATTATTCCAAGATTTTAAAAAGCCTTGGACTCATTTGACTTTCTCAAATTACTTGCACATCACTGAAATATATTAAGGATGGAATATAAGTATTAAGGCTGTATATTCACAAAGCTGTCATAGTGTAAGCTTGCTTATAGATATCTGTCCAATTACCTTAGTTTTTTCTTTTTAATAGGAAAAGAACAAGACTTGAAAATTTTAGGAATCTTCAAAGAAAATTATAAATATTAAAATTTGAATAGCTGGCTTTAGTTCTAAAAGGCTTTTGACATCTTCTTTCCTAAGGCTTTCCTAAATATATCAGAGGCATATTATGTCAAGTTAGAATTTAAATGCATTTATTAATGTTTATGGGGTTTGTTTGTTTGCTTGTTTTTGGTTTTTTTTGAGACAGGGTCTCCCTTTGTAGTTCAGGCTGGCCCTGAACTCACTATGTAGCCGAGGTTGGCCTTGAACTTGTGGGCAATTCTCCTGCTTCAGCCTCCCGAGTGCTGGGATTACACTTATGTGCCACCACAACCAGCTTGTTTACAGGTTTTCAAGAACTGCACTATAACAACAAATATACTATTACAGGCTCAGGTGCTTTAGTTTTTAAATCCAGAGATGGTGTAAGTAATACCATGAGGTTACTTTAAGATTTTATCAAAAAATAGAGGCATGAGATCTCTGAGGCTTGAGTTACTACATGTTAAGTTTTTAATTTATCAGTTTGATCTGAACTTTTAGAACTGACAAAGCCTTGGAATTATGAATACTAGGTATCTTCTAACTAAATCAGCTTTATGATCTTGTTTATGATGTTACCTACAAACAAATGTTCTTACTCATTTTGGCACGAGAGAGTGAGCTGTACTGGAATGCCCACGCAATAAGAAGACTGCAGAGTTCCCAATTCACCTCTATGCTGCATACCAGCAGCCATTAAACAATATGAGGTAATATTAGGCAATATTAGGGATTATTAGCAATATGAGGCAAGAAAATTTCTTTCATAAATGTATAGCTCACAAAAATGTGCACTGTTCGGTGTTCACTTTTCCCCTTCCAAGATATTTGATAGCTATATTTTTAAACATGAAATTGACTTCACAGGTTATATTTACATTGAAAAGAAATATTTACTAATTCTAGTTCATATGTTTCTATAATCAATATACCTTCCACTATTTATATACAAAGAATTCTATCATCTGAAGAAGTCATTTCCTTTGGAAAACTTACCTAATCATGCTTTCTATGGTTTGAATTTAAGTTATCTTTTGATAAACAAAATAAAGCCTAGATTTTTTCTAGATTTTAAAAATCTAGAAGTAGGTGCTTTAGAAATTATGTTTATATGCCCAAGAAAACACCATATCATATTTTCAGTGGAAAAGAATTTGGTGAACCAAAATTCATATCAATTTTAGCTCTTCAGTAATTTGTAAAGCTTTATAATCTAGCTGTCCAAGAACTCGATCATACTATCTCCTATTACTCTTCCTCTTGCTGCTAAATTGCCCAGGCTGGGCTTGAATTTGTAGTCCTCCTGCTTCAGTCTACCAGAGTGCATACATTATCCCTCAACCTCATGTTAGGAAATGAACCCAAGGCCTTCACACTGAAGGATGTATCTCTAGCTCCTTTTTCATTTTTTTAGCATGCGTGCATTTGCATGTGTGTGGTAGTGCTAGAGGATGCCATATTGTAATTCTGATCTTGAGAACTGGAAGACAATATTGTCTTCTAATGTATGATCATGGTATAGTCCTCCATTTACTTAAATTTACTGTTTTCTTCAATTATGTTTTATAGTTCTCTACATGGAAGTCTGGGCATATTTCTTTTTATATTTTCCTATTTACTATCTTGTGATACTATGATAAATAATATATTTTAATTTTTCATTTCCCATTTGTTGGTATATAGAAATATCAGCAGAAATACAATTGATTTTTGTATACTAACATATTTTTGTTTCTACATGTATTCATTCTACCTAAAAATCTTCTAAAAGCAAAAATCTGACACTTTTCACTCTTAGAGACTGGCATAGAATATTACATACACAAAATTATTCTGAAATATCTAAAACAAGAAATTTTTACCTAATGATAAAACACGAGATAAAAATAGGACAAAAGAATAATTATTTACCAAGATTAGACAGGCATGTACCATCTACTGATGAATGGATAAAGATGATGTAGTTTTTTTATACAACGGAATACTACTCTGCCATAAAAAGGTTAAATTTGAGACAGTTCTAGGTAAATGGATGCAACTGAGACCACACTCTTACGTGAAATAAATAGGACACACATGTTTAAATACCACATTGTTTCTCTAGTGTGAGACACAGAAAATGTAAATAAGGACCAAAATGCATAATAGATACTGGGAAATGGGAAGAAAATGTTCAAATGGGAAGGGGAGCAAAGGGGGTAAGAAGGAAAGAAGGGACAAGAAAACAGAAGGAAAAAACTGGAAACAAAGCTTTTGTAAATAAGGAAGGGAAGAGGGGTTGAAGGGAGGGGAGGGGATTGGGGAAAAAAAAGATTTAAGATACATCATGTACAGGTACAAATTCCCTGTGATGAATGTGATCATTATGTCTATCTAAAATGTACCAATAAAAAAAAAAGAAAGAAAAAGATTAGATGGGCATGTATGATAGAAGTCATCATTTTCTTCTCATTTTTTATAGGGTGGCATTCAGTGTCAATTTAGGACACTTGCTCTGAAAACAACCGTGAGGAACCACAAGGGAGGGCTGCTGCCATGCTTTTAAGGCAAAAGGCAGTGGACCAGCTCTGGCCAGACATGTCTGCCCCACATCTTAGCTTACCACTGGCACCAGTACCTGGACATTCAGTCCTCTCTTCTCTAACACTGACATAATTCTACAGACTGTGGTTATACTCCCTCGAAATCCACTGACTTCTGTGTGTCAAAGTTTGAATACTGTAGTCAATGCTTCCTAAAGAAGTGGTAAAGACAGCTGTCAATATAACATTAAAAATAGCAAAAGCAAAGGGATTGAAAGAAAGTGACTGTAAGCCAGTTTAGTGCACATGAAATATCAATTAATGTGAAATATAAACAGGTTATAAAATGGTAAGACCCAGACAGATTCTTAAAATAAATTAGGCTCATACTTAAACTGGTTTCAACACCTGCTGAAGAGGTATAATGGAAATAAGATGACCTGAAATATGTTTTCTCCAAATATGAACAGTTGGAGACACTTACTAACTTGACTAATTTCTAGAAAAGCAATTATAGATACAAGGTAAAAAGGGAAATCAAGGATTCAAATTCTGACCAAGAATTCTGAGAAACATTTAGAAAACAAAGAAAAAGACAAAACCAAACCAAAACCTGATTTTAGAAAACACAACCAAATCACAGAATTATAAATATTGACTATCACAGAGACAATAAGTGGTTCTGTTTTTTCTACCTAACAAGAGTCTATGACTAAAACTAAACAGCTCACTAAGCACATAATAATCAACAGCATGAAGAACCACAGCATTTCCTATTTTCAAATTCCTTCATTATTTTAAATGACATAATCCTTAAAATTATCTGGCTAGTTTAAACATTTACACATCCATTGTTAAAAAATAAAAAAATACCTAACAATACATTTGGTATGAAATTGGGGTGGGGAGAGCTACAGGGAGTTGCTTTGCTTTTGACATTAATTCCTTTAGTATATGCAACAATTGAAATGAGGTATTCTTTGTGGGGTTTTTGTTTGTTTTGCTTTTGGTGGTGCTGGGGATCAAAGCTAGGTCCTCTTACATACAAGGCAAATACTCTACCACTAAGCTATGTCTTCAGCCCAATATGGATTTTTTGGTTGGTGCTACTGTTGTTTTGAGACTTTTTTTTTTTGAGACAGGATCTTGCTCTGTGTTTCAGACTGGCTTGAACTCAGTATGTAGCCCAGGCTGGTCTCAAACTCCCAGTGATCCTCCTGCCTCAGCCTCCCAAGTGATGGGATTACAGGTGTGCACCACCATGTTCTACTTCTCATGGGTTTTCAAGAATTTTCCCTTCTGTCATCCACTCCAGTTCTGAATATAAACTTATGAAATATGCAAAACTATCTTAGCTAACTTAGCCTAGGCTATGTCTAAAACTACTCTATATTTAGTTCTCATTGACTTCCCTATGAATATTAGTACTTCAACAAGATCACTGTTGCTCTTTCAAAATCTAGAGCTGAGCAATAAACACAGAAACAACATGCCATCCAACCTGCACAGGACTAAAGAGTACTCTTATCAGCTTGCATTCAGATACATTCTAGCTTTGTAAACTAACTTTCTTGTCACCTGGTTATACACAATAGAACTCTCTAATGACTTCTAACTCTGGATTCCCATGTTAATTTCAATGTACTCACAGGAAACACAGGATGTTCTGTCTTACTGTACCAGTAACAAGACCACAAATCACCCAATACAAATCTAGGAATTTCTGCCCTGTTAGTATTAGCTTACCCAGTTTGCTGGTGCCCTCTGGTGGGTATTCAGGAAACTGGCCCTCGGAAGGGACGCTGACAGTTCTCCTTAGGCATCGCCCTTTAGTGGAATCTGTCTGTTGCTCCTGTCCTCCTTCCACAGGTATCTAGTAAACCAAAAGAAAAAGAGCTTAAAGTTAATATTGAACTCTCCATAACAGCATTCTGATTGAATAATGTTTTCTAGTTAGTGAAGATGGAAGTGTGAAATGAGCAGAATAAAGTAAGAGAAGTGTACAAATATGGCACTAATTAACCCCTTTCAGGAAGTTTTCTTTAAAAAGAAACTGAAAAATCAGGAAGGGTGAGTAAGCAAATTAGCTCACATGAAGTATGTACAAATCATGTCCAGGTGTGCAGCTGCTCTGGGAGCTCAGAAAACAAAACAAAACACCCACACAAATACAAGTTTCTTCTGCATCAGAAATTAGTTCACAAGCTCTACTTTTATCTAGTGTTCAAAGAGGTAAATGGAAATAAAAGTTGACAAGATTCATCTTCAAAATTCTCTTTAAAGAAGGTGGGAGTTTTTGTTAGATAGATACAAGTAAAATTATTAAATTTTCTTCAATTTTACAATCAAGTACTTAGACATAGATAACAAAACATTTCTAATGGAAGCTAATACAGATACCTGTATAGATACCTACAGAAACTAGTATGCTTTCTTTCAAAGTTGAGGCTGTTTCTATAATTCTAAGATAGTTCTTCTGGCATAGTTTTAGAAAACATATCAAGTGATTGTAGAAGTGGAATAAGAACGATGAATATAAAAGAGATCTCTAAGGCTAACAACTATTTTAAAGCTTATTCAGAAGATTATCACTGTAAAGTAATGATATGGTTCTAAGTTCCTTTTTTCTGTTTGTTTAGGGGCCAGGGGTAGAACAGTCTCCTCTTACCTATAGAAATAGGTTCAAGGCCCTCAGTGGATACTTGAAACGACATATAGACAACATAGTACTCTCTCTCTCTCTCTCTCTCTATATATATATAATTTTTTTACATAGTATATACTTATATGTACTATGCTTTTGTCCTATACAAAGTTAAGTAATAAATTAGGCAAAGAGATTAAAATAGGAATAATAGGAGAGCAATTTTCACAATATATTATAATAAAAGTTAAATAACTGTCTCCCCCTGCCCACCTCAAGGTGTTCTAAAATAGTGTAATTTTACCTTTTCACTTAAAGGAAGCATTTTATAGCTTATCTTTGGCATATTTAAATTCTCAGCATGACTGCTCTTGTGCTTTGGGGTTATTTTTAAGTAAAATAAGGGTTACCTGAACACAGGCACTGTGATACCTTGACAGCCTATCAGATAACCAAGACATATGCTAAGTGACTAATGGGTGAGTAGCGTATACAGTATGGATATGCTGGAGAAAGGGATGGTTCAAATCCCAGGCAGGAGGAACCAGGATACCACAAAACAGTGCAAAATTTAAGACTTATGAATTACTTATTTCTGAAATTACCACTTAATATTTTCAAACTGCAGTTTGCCATGGATAACTGAAACTGTGGAAGATAAAACCATGGATAAAGGACGAACACTATAATGCTAGGTATGCAGATAATGAGCAAAGACATTTTACAAATAATTATCAATAACTTGTATCAGAAGAATTATATTGATGATATCCTAAGTAGTTTAGTAAATTATATCAACAATTAATAACTGTTCCTAATTTTTATGGCTCTTGAATTTTAATAATAATTACTATCATTTAATTCTTATTGTGCACAAATCCAAGAATTGTGTGTGACATTATGAAAGCATGATAACTTTTCCTTGTTCACAGGTGAGGGATAGTTTATTTTTCCAAATGATTGCAAAGAACATACACTGTATCAATTGGCCCAACAAAACTGGGACAGGTGCACATGCCTTTGCTCTGCCTCAGTAATCTAATTCCTATGACTGAGGTCAAAGAGATAACAGAAAGGGAAGCTCTCTGTGTTACTGAGAATCTGCACTGGATCTTAGCCAAAAGGCCGAGAAGCGATTGTTACTGAGAATCAGAAGAGCAAATTCCTGAAACTTCCAGAGCACTGAAAATTTTCATATCTTTATAGTCCCCTACCTCATTACACTTAGCTGAGAAACTGAAGGGCAGAATTAAGAAAAATTTTAAAAATATGTTGAAACCATATAACAGCATCAACAAAGGCATATACTTTCAAAAGTACTCTGTAATGTAAAACTTCACGAACAGTAATCTAAGTCACCCATCCCTTTCAGGATGGAAATTATCTCTCTTTAAATAATTAAAAGAGTATCACTGAAAGGTTGAGTGACTCCTTCCTATTAAGAAAGGCAAAAAATGAGGCTCCTAGGGCAGTGAAGCTCAGCTGGTCCCAGCACCTGGAAGGTAGCTCCCTGCCTCCATCCGAGGCTCCTAGGGCAGAGAAGCTCAGCGGGTTCCAGCTCCCGGAAGGAAGCTCCCCACCTCCATCCCAGGCTCCTAGAGCAGTGAAGCTCAGCCGGTCCCAGCACCCGGAAGGAAGCTCCCTGCCTCCATCCCAGGCTCCTAGGGTAGTGAAGCTCAGCTGGTCCCAGCACCCAGAAGGAAGCTCCCCTGTTGCCATCCCAAGCTCCTAGGGCACAGAAGGTGAGCCGCGTGGGCGGCAGAAGCACCCCCCCCCATGGAAATGAGAAGACACATAAACAAGCCTCAAAAACAGACTTCCAGATCACCTACAGC